CCGCCGAATGCATCGTCATCCAACTACAACATCTACAACGACCCGGCCAACAGCAACAACAATGCTGCACAGAAACGCCTGCAGCAGACACAGGCCAAAGTGGACGAAGTGGTGGGCATAATGCGCGTCAATGTCGAGAAGGTGCTCGAACGTGATCAGAAACTATCGGAGCTGGGCGAGCGAGCCGATCAGCTGGAGCAGGGCGCCTCACAGTTCGAACAGCAGGCGGGCAAACTGAAGCGCAAACAATGGTGGGCCAACATGAAGATGATGATCATTCTCGGCGTCATTGCCGTCGTCTTGCTGATCATTATAATAGGTAAGACCTATCGATCTGAAATTGCATGCTTATGCTTTGCTCACAATGCTATATAATCAATCTACTGCTTTAAAAAAAACTAATTGGCTTTGAGCTGCTTTGTAATAATGCTTCATATCTATTTATAAGTGTATTTAATCTGTATTCTAATATTAAGTTAAATGAAAAGGTTTAATGTACGCTTAAAATAGCTTTGAGCTGATCAACTTATGCCTGCATTTTACTCAGATTTATATTTAAGTTGTATACATAAGCACATAATTGTTATCACCTACACATTGCATTGTTATCACCTAATTTGTAAAGCATTTATATACTATATAGAGAGGGAAACATGTCTAGAAGTAGAGTTCGCTTTGACACAAAAATGCATATATTCATATGCCTAAACTTAGCTTCACTTGTGTCTTCCATTTGCTTAGAAATTGAGTTCGATATCAATATGTATATATTTAATAATTTGTGAAAGGTTTATATATATGCAGACTTATATAATGGATAGAATACTAGAGTGTTCTGATATCTAAATGTATTTAAAAATTAGTTTCTATGCAAACACACTTGTGCAATGTCTAGAAGTAGCGTCTCAAATTCTACATTTATTGTATGTACAGTCTTGATAAGAAGTTGCTTTGCCCCCATGTTTATCTGCTTCAATACGCACTACATAGTCTGTCAGTTTAGGCGTACTCTCATCTTTTAGTCAGAGACTCATTAGAATACTAGAAGTCAAATCCAACTCAAAGCACTTAAATATATTTCATAATACTATATACCTAAAAATAGTTTATAATATAGTATATATGGTATGCACTTACCTCTGGAATTGGCTATGAATTGTTCTTATCACACATTTGTCACCTGTCTGTGGGCGGATTGCTCAAGAGATATCAATTTGCTCCTCTCAATTTAACGTTTGTCTGTCTGGGTGATGGCTGAAGTTATATATTTATATATTTCACTCGATTTAACCGGCGTTTGCACTATACGGCACACAACTAACCCCCATCGAATGCCAACTTATCAACAATGTTCCACTTTTATTTACTTGCAGTGTCGATTTACAATTGATAAACAAAAGAAAAAGTAAAAGCAAAAGCAAAAATAATATGCAGCAGGGCAACTTGTTGCGCTTATCCAATACATACGCATAATTCTAAGGCTATCAACAACATCAGCTACACGTATTTAGAAACACATATACATATATATATATATATGTATATATACATGTGCACACACAGCTCATCCATATGTGTGTGTGTGTGTGTAGAACAAAATTTTAGTTTAAGCAAAAAAGGTAAAACAATTCGTTGCCTGTGCTCCATGTGCTAATTAGCTCTTTATTTGCCTAGATGCTAAGCGAAAGATTACTTTGCTAAACAATCGTGTGTAGTTAATTTTAAGAGCTATGGACTTTGCCCAGCATAACTGTAGCTGTAACTGTAAATATACATACACTATGTGTGAGAATGTAAGCGGAGACAACAGCAGCAGCAGCAGCTCAGTGTCTAACTGAAGTTCTATGCCCTAATCAACCCGTTTCTTTTGCCTGACATTTTTACAGTATGCGCTTTGCCCTCCGGCAGCAGCAGCAGCAGCGATCATGTCACAAAATCCGTGACCGAGGCACCCCATTAGATGGAACCCCAACAAGCAAGCACAAGTATCCTGGAATCGAAGACAACGAACAGCAACTGTGTGGCAATTTCTGATAGAGGACTTGCTGCTGCCTTCTTCGCATTGGCCTTAAGCGCAACAATTCAATTCAATTTAACACAATGAAAACTGTGTCTAAAACAAATAACAAAAACAAAAATTGCAAAAAAAAAAAAAAAAGAATGAAACCAACATAAAACACTTAACACAGATTGTTATTTATAAACATTTTAATCTTAAATGTAAAAAAAAAAAAAAAATCACACATGTATTGTAACAAATTTATGTAACAACAACAACAACAACGCACAGGTGTTGCGTATGTCTGTGTCTGTGTGTGTGTTAGTTTTCCTTTATCCATTAAGCAGTCTCTTATTCCGGCACAAATTGAATGTTAACTGTTTACACGTTTAGCCTAGCTAAGACTAAGGCACTTAGCACATGTATTAAAAAAAACAGAAAGAAAAAATTGTTTATAACTTAAAGCCACACACACACATACACTTTCACACGCACACAATCACACTTTTTATATGGCTATTATATATTTATGGATATATATATCTGTATAGATCTATTATACACTTATACACATAAATTTATATATATATATTTATATATTTGTAATTACACTTCTATATGAAATGGCATGTATTTGATATAATTTCGTTGTTATTGTACTCGTGTGTGCGACAGAAATTCGCTTGAATGAATCGCGCGAACATTTTGTACACAAATTGACGTGAAATAATATTTACATATTCAATCTACAAAATCTTGGTAACAAATGTTTTATTTAGGCATTGAAAACCGTTTCTGTGTTTCATTTTTTGTTATTATCGATTTTAAGCAACGAAAAACTACGACAAGGACGCCCCAAAACACACTAATACGCGGACGAGAACGAGAAAGAATCCTGTAATAATCGGGTTGCAAATGCGTAACGAACGGAAGCTTAAAATCTGGTGCACAAATCAGTTTTAAACAGAACGCGAGGATTTTTCGATGAATCCTCGTCCTCTGGGAGGAAAAACAATTACAATCAGCACCAGGCAACAAAACCTTTCCAATTTGTATTTACAACGTCGTTCCTGAACTAAATGGAAGCAGAGTTTGTGCGCGTGTGTGTGTAGGCGTGTTTGTGCAACAGCTGTTGCTGAGACCTTTTAGAGGTGCATGCGCTGTATCAATGTGGAAATGGCAACACTGCCAACTAGTCAGCCAGCCGAACGGATGGCTATCAGAACGTTAGATCCCATTTGGCCAACTCGATGCCAGCTGCCGTCGTCCACACATAGCTCATGTAGAGGGCAAAGAAGTTCAGATAGTACAGCTGTCCAATGAGTATATGATCAGCGATCTCGTCAACTTGATAAAATTTCGGCTTTCGTATCGAGGCAGCAAATATAATTACAAACTGCAACAAAGATAAGAATGGGGACAATACAGCATAGGATTTTCAATATATCAAATAACTCCAGCTGACTTTTAAATTTAAAAAGAAATCTAGCAACAAAAACTTTGAATCAGCTTGAAACTTAATTTTAGATATAATCTTATCTTATAGTAAGATAGGCTCAATTAAAAATATTCGAGACCTATATAAAGCTAGTGTGATTTGGCTGGCACTTACAACATTTGATATGATGGTATAAATAAGGAGCGCCGGAAACTCAATAGTGATGCGCTTCATTTCTGCACAGATGATGATGCCAAAGCATGTCAGCACATAGATGCGCTCGCTCCAGCGTATCACATTGTGGCGTGACACCTGTGAAAATGGGGGAAATCAACATGGTATTAATATATATAGAGATACTTAGATGTAGTTACGAAGAGTCCACGTTTATGCTTGATGGCACAATTGCCGTAGAACACACTGATGGCCATGATAATGAAGGTGAGCACCCAGGATGTGATGAGGCAAATATAGGGAGCTGCTTTAGCGGGCTTCATTATCGAAATGGTGTTTACCTCGTACTATAGCGTTAGAAAAAGAGAGAGAGAGAGAGAGAGAAATAGAGCAGCAGAAGTAGTATTGCTAAGTGTTAATCATGTCTCTATTCTAACTTCTCTCTTTTGCTTACCGTCCAGATTCCGGCTACGAAACGCTTCCATTTTGCTTTTCTCTCCAGAATGTGATAGAAGAACACGTACAGCTGTATCGATATGAAGCTGACAAAAAAGTGCAGCAAGCTCACATAGTAATGCTTCATGAGAAACCGCTTCAGTGGGTCACTGCAGGAGACATTAGAATTAGAATTCGGCGGAAAATTTGATCAAACTAAGTCTCGTGCTCACATCTCCATTACGATTATGACCTGAAATTGGCCGAGTAACAGCATTAATATCGTCACAATATACGTTTTCTTCAGCTTTTTTTTGACAGATATCTTAGCTGCACTCTCACTGAGATCCATTTGTGGATAATATTTTAATTTTAATTTTGTTTATTTTTGAAAGCAACTATCCAATTTTAGTATTAAGTTCAACGCCAACAAGAAATTCAAAATCTAAACAGATAAGAAAACGCTAGCTCTGGTTAGAAACATGCCGATAGTATCCGACTACGATATACCCCGAGTACTTGAAACATATACAGAATTGTCAGGAGTCGAACCTGATGAGATCCATCGTATCTATAATTTGCGACACTTTATCTACCACACCTCCTAATGTCTGAAACAATATAACTCTGCATTGAACTATCTCTATGAGTTCCAGGAATATAAACATATAAGTTAGACATATAAGTTAGATACTTATATGATATGTTATAATGTCTGTCTGAACAAATCCTAAGAAACAGCTTGAATCACGATGAGCTCCCGGAAAAGGTATATCATCCCCTAAAACCGTCTAAAAACATCTTTGTATTCATCTCCTTACAAAATTTGTTGGATTATTCGTAAACTATTTTGTTTTCTCGATCGCTTTGCAGGGGAATCAAACATGCCTAGATTTAAGTGACATTGAACATAGAAATCCGTTGTATTCATTTAATTTTACATCCCACCCCCTTTTTTTTTTAGGTATATTTTTATATAGACACGAATAAATTCTTTGTATATGTCTAGGAGAGGAGAATTGATTTACAAAAATGGGGGATAACGCTGGAAACTCTGAACAAAGCCGACGAAAGTTCGTGGCAATAGTTTATATGATGACTCTTGTCGCACTCCTGCTGGGTCTCGGTCAATGGCTGGCCGTCGTATTTGTGTAAGTGGACAGAGAAATCTAACAATATATAGATATATGTATGTATTTACCCATTGCAGTGGAAAGCTCGGTCTAGCATTTATGGAATATGAATTCATTAGTGGAATATTCTTTTCGCTTTCGGTAATACTAGCCATCGTCTTCATATTTGTGGAGAAAGCTCGTACTATGGTCGCTCTGAATTGGATCTTGGCAATTTTAATTGTGAGTACAATTCGTCTATATGTTTTTTGTGTTGCATATGTATATGTGTGTGATTGGATCTATCAGATGGAATTTGCAATTTTGGGAGTATTTGCGCTGTGCCCCCGATCGGGATGGCCCGAACTACTTTTATGGTATCTGATATGTCTCCTTGTCTTCTTCCTTGCCATACTAGTGGGTTCGGTTCTGCCGGTAAGTGGCAAATGCAACAAAAAAGAACTTTGGAAAAAAATTGTGAATTTATCCTCTAATTTGACCTTCATCAGCATGATCTGACCCTTGATGTCGTTATATTATTTGTCATATCATTTATCTTCTTAATTGTTTCCGTATTTCTGATAATGTTGCATCTAATGAGCCGTACATCGCATTCGATCATTCTGTATCAGATATTCGTTAGCGTTATAATTCTGACGGTAAGTGTTGGATAATTTATCTCCTATCTCTTTCTCACTCTCACTCTCTATCTATCTCTCTCTCTCTCTCTGCTTTTCTTCCAGTTTGTCATGTATCACGCTCAGACCATTAACGGTGGACGATTTGCGGAGTTAAGGGTGAATGATTATCTACTTGCTTCCATAATACTCTTCTACGATTTTATTGTCTTGTTCTTGCTAACATTCTATGTGCAAGTTCAATTTCCGCTTATCCAGAGGGACAAACATACTACAGAAGCACCACCAACAACAATAGTTACGTCAACTCTAGCTGCACCTACAGCTGCACCTACAGCTCCAGATGAAACTCCAGCTCCGGAAGGATTCCGCTTTATCTAACAATATTGTCCACGTTGTCCATTTAGTTTGCCTTAGCTGCATTTAGTTCATCGTACAAATTGTTATCTATTTGGAAAGCTATATAAATAATTAAAGCTCACAAATTATTCATTTAGTTACTGATTAATATCCAATGCCTATTTTATTTTTAATACGAATTTGTTTTGTTTGCCAAGCTCAAAGATGAGCTTAAAGTTTATGGAAAGGGCAGCTCCTTAACTGAAAATTAATTTAATAATATAATATACATATTATTTATCGTTTAAATTTTGAATATGCTTTTAATTTGCAATGCCTCTGTTTAATATTTATTTAATTATTTTAGCTATTGCAATATCATACAAACAAAAATTCTAAGGAATACATAACCATGTATGGTTGAGCTATTAATAGATGCCAAGATCAGTTTTTTTATCTTTCGATAAAGACAAATTCGGAACGCATTACTAAATTAAAGTGTAATTAATTCAGTGCATTTCCTCGAAAAAGCTCATGACAAATTAAGTGCTCAGTCAATGAATTGACATGAAAGAGAAACTTTTTATATTAAGATTCTTGTAATTAGTTAATATCATCATCATCTTTTTATCTCCAATCCTCAATGACCCGATGAAGTTTTGCTCTAGAGTATTATTTCGAGTCTGAGCACTGTAATGCCTGCAAGTGCAAATTAAAGAAGCAATAAAATTTTTAAAAATTATGAATTAAATTAAAAAATTTTATGTAAAATGTAAAGAATTTCTAACTTTTTTTATTGTGATATTTTTAGTATTACGTTTTTCCATTTTTATATTCATGCATCATGGAGAGTATACAGTGAGATTCTCTATTCCAGTGGTGTTCTCTCTCTCTCTCTCTCTCTCTCTCCTTCTCTTTCATTCTTTTAGTAAACTATGCACAAAGCAGAGCCGCTGTGCCATAATTACCGATGGACCAGTTGAAAAGACCATTTTATATCATACATCATGTTATTCTATCATCCCTCATTCAGAAACATTTTGTATAAAACGTATCTTTAAGATACAAAGAATTCCATGCTAAAACGATTCTTGTTTAACTTTAACACTGAAATTTTAATCACATTGAGGAGTAAAACAAATGTACAGATACAGAATATATGAATGTTAATATATAGGCAGAGAGTACGTAGAATGCTGTTATATAGGAATATTATTATATGCATATGTATATATGGTTAGTATAGGCTAGTATCGAATTTAAAGTTTGCAACATTTGACAATACATTTATAATACATGGGACTACTGTTAGGTTCCGCTTTCCGATATAGATACAGATACAGATACTTGTACATATGTGTGTGTGTGTGTATATATAGACGCGAATTGTAACTACGATTATTGATTGCACAGCAGTGAAGGATTGTTCTTTCGAATATTCTTTTCTATGATTATATTTATATAGTATTTATATTATAGTTGATGTTTATCTTTATAAGGATTCCAGCGATGAGGCAGCTGAGCAAATGGTCGCATCCGAGTCACTGAATCGCGATACGCCCAATGCAGACTGCAGCGGCTGCGATTGTGATGCAAATGAGCCGAGCAGCGGGGAGGCCAGATCGTTGAGGCTGCTGAGGCGGCTGAGTGTGGGCGTGACGGCGGCAGCCAGGCTGAGGCTGCTGCTGTCCGTGGATGAGGCGTCCGGGGAGCGTGACGATGAGCTGGCATAGCGTTCCAGCAGCAGCTGGCTGAACGTCTTCGCCGGCCAGTCGTTATCCTCCGTGGGCGTCGTGATGGGCGTCGTAATGGGCGTGGGCTGGTGATTAATGCTGCTGGTAAAGGAACTGTTGTCGATCAGGCTGCTGACGGGCTCCAGAAACCGCTTGCCATGGTACATATGACCGGCGCTGTCCATGATCAAGCTCAGGGGCTGGCCGCACTGCGGCGTATGCAGGGCAATCGGACGAAAGTGATTGGCGGGCGTGGCATTGTGATTGTGATTGGAATTAGAATTGGAATTGTAGCTATAGCTGCTTGACTGCATTGGATTATTGCTTGTTTGGTTGCTCCCGCTGCGCTTGCACAGCTCCATCAGCTCAGTTTCTGAACGGAAATGGCAAGAAATCAATAGAAAGAAGAAGAAGAAGAAGAAGAGGCAGCAGCAGATTCAATTGTGTTATGAAGCAAATCGAGCATTTGGCACTGGCAATAGAGCTAAACTGGCTGACTACGCTACCTGCGCTTCATACCTTCCGCGGCGGACTCCTCATTGTCCACATCCTCGCGTATGCTCGCCTGCCCGGCCACCTGTCCGGCCTGGCCGGCGCTGTGCCCGGCTGCGTCATCGTCGCAATTGTTCGGGTCCAGTGTGGTGCGCACCACAGCCACATCCATGTGGGAGTCCAGCGAGAACTGTTTGCCCGACATGAGAATGCCGCGCACTCGACGGCGCGTCGACGGCGACTCCTGATGCTGCAAGCATTGCTCAGGCGTGAGTGTGAGTCCAGGCTGGAGTTTAAGCAGCGGCTCTACTTACCGCTATGCGTATGCCCGCATAGGTCTTGGCCAGAAACTCGTCCGCATCGAAGATGGCCGCAAAGGAGCCATTTACGACCTTCGGCGACAGCGGCGAATTCGATAGCAACAGGCTGGAGCCAAAGGCTTCGCTCTTCTCTTTGGTATCTAAGAGATGGGAGAGTTGGATGAAATAGACTAACTAGTTCTAGAGTTATTTGCAGAAAAATAATCATAATAACTGAAGCGGATAAAATTTTAACCAATACTTCGTATAGCATTCTATAGTCAATTTTAGAAATATTATTATATTAACTGAAATGGATCAGATCTTAACAAAGTTATTTATAATCTCCTAATAGTACCAGACTTTATATAGTCATATATTTTATATAGTTTATGTCTAAACTACATAAAATCTGGTACTATTAGGTGCTTATAATGCCTTAAACTTTTCTATTGTTTTCACTGAGAGCTGCATTAAACTTTTAGATACTTTTATATCTTATAGATACATTTAAGTACTACAGAGATTTGTCTTGAGATTCTCACATTTTATATATCACAAATGCATATGATCTAAATATTAGATTAAATCAAAAAATATTAGATTTTTCGGATCATATCTAATCTCCTACTCCTCAGTGACTTTAGAAAATCATCTTTAGCCAATCCAACTGTTATTATTATTATCATTATTTTTTTTTTTTTTTTTTTTTTTTTTTTTGCAATTATTGTACTTGATTTTCAGATACATCTGTATCTTATAAATTTTCTACTGTAGCTATACCATGATTATAAGATAATAATTAGCTGCTGAAAAGTAGCAAAATAAAATACGACATCTGGGTGGATCAAAGGGTTTTATGTCAAACAAACAATAAACATTAAAAAAAATTAAATAAAAACAAAAAACAGTAATGAAAAACTAAATTAAAGCCAAATTAAACAAAAGCAGAATAAAACGAAACAACTGGAAGCACATTCAGTAGTTTGGTAGGGCCCAGTGTTTACCCTTGAGATAGACGCGATTGGAAATCGTGATGTTCATCTCGTCGAGCACCAGGGAGGCCACCTGCTTGATCTCCATCCAATCCTTGACAATGTCATCCAGTGTAGTGTGTGTCGAGGTGATGGTGAACCGGATGACATATTGGCCCTTCAGCGAGGACGGCACACAGTGCTGATTGCCGCGATAGTTGAGGCGCTTCAGCAGCCGCTCGGTGATCTCGTTCTCGCCGCGTATCCGGAACACAACGAGGCCCAGGTACCGCTTGGCCGGCAGCTCGAACCGATGATCGGCCAGCACCAGCGCCTCGAACTTCTGAGCCAGACGCACGCCCTCGCGTATGTGACGCTGCAGACCCTTGATGCCAAACGAGCGCAGCACAAACCACACCTTGAGCGCGCGAAAGCGTCGACTCAGCGGGATTTGCCAGTGCATAAAGTCGACGGCCACGCCGGAGTTCTCGTGCTGCAGATACAACGGCTCCACATTGAAGGTGCGATGCACTGCGGTGCTGTCGCGCACCCACATCGCCGTCGCATCGAAGTGCACCATCAGCCACTTGGAGGGATTGAAGGCGATCGAATCGACGCGCTCGATGCCGCGCAGCCAGGTGCGAAACTCCGGACAGATGAACGCGCTGCCCGCGTACGCCGCATCCACGTGCAGCCACAAATTATATTCCCGGCAGACAATGCCAACCTAAGTGAGAATATGCACAATTAAACCAGATCAAGCTATATGTGGATAGGGGACTCTAGCTGTATACCAACCTCATCCAGATTGTCAAAGCTGCAGCTGCCAGTGGTGCCAAGCGTCGCACAGACCTATTGTAAATAATTAATAATTTATGTATTTATATTTAAAATAGTTTTGATACAGAATGTTGAATAAAATTTTAGTCTATAAATAATAAAAATCGTTAAGTATTTTTTAGGATTTATAAAGAATGCAAATGATTTACTAAACAAGACTATAATAAAAATTTAAGTAACTAATAAATCTTAGACTTGGATTAGGAGTAGTTTTCTTAATCAATATATTTAGCTAATTATATAATTATATCATTCTCTCTCAGAATTTTTGAAAAATTTAAATAGATTTAAGATTGAAAATAAACAGCAAAAAATATGTAAAAGAAATATGTACAATTTATAAGAAAAAAGTAAAGCCAATGGTTTCTAGTAGACACTTGTATCCTCGGTTATATCATATCAAGGATAAAGTCCTAGAAACCTAAAGGACTAAATTATTAGTCCATCATTATGGATGTTTTCCTTTCAGCAAAATGGTTTCCAGTTGACCCACATATGCTTGGTTAAACAATACCAAGGATGTAGTCCTGGAAACCTAAAGGACTATATCATTAGTCCATCAATATGAATGTTTTTCTTTCAGCAAAATATGTGCCCCATAATGGTTTCCAGTCGACCCACATATGGTTGGTTAAACGGTACCAAGCATGTAGTCCTGGAAACCTAAAGGATCATATTAATGGTCCAGAAATATGAATGCCCTTTTTTCAGCTGACCTTTATATGAACCCCATTGTCCCTTTAATGGCTCCCAGTTGACCCACATATTCTTGGTGATCAATGCTAAGAATATAGTCCTGGAAATCTAAATTACACCTTATAGTATAGTACTGGCAATAAAAAAATTGGAGTCTATTTAAAATTCCCATTGAAATTGTCCAGAAAAATAATGCTGCAATAAAATGTTGCATAGCCTAAAGGGGCCGATCTTGCGGCGATGAATTACTAAATTCGCCAGCTGAAGTACCAGGCGAACAGAAATGAGTAGTAGGCAGCTGAGTAATAGTTTAATAGAAATGAGAGGACTTAGCATAGCATTTTTAGTTGACCTTGGGTTAACATGGCAATGTTAGTTAACTCGGCTGCTGCGGCAGTTKRWTYRCWAAATTTACATGTAAASTCTGCTRAAATACCAGGCGMACAGAAATGAGTAGTAGGTAGCAGAATGTTAGTTGAAGAGAAATGAGAGGAGTTAGCATATCATTTTTAGTTGACCTTGGGCTAACATGACACTGTTAACTCGGCTGCTGCGGCAGTTTATTTACAAAATTTACATGTAAAGTCTGCTAAAATACCAGGCGAACAGAAATGAGTAGTAGGTAGCTGAGTAATAGTTTAACAGAAATAAGAGGCCTTAGCATAGCATTTTTAGTTGACCTTGGGTTAACATGGCAATGTTAACTCGGCTGCTGCGGCAGTTGGATCGCTAAATTTGCATGTAAACTCTGCTGAAATACCAGGCGAACAGAAATGAGTAGTAGGTAGCTGAGTAGTAGTTTACAGAAATGAGAGGCCTTAGCATAGCATTTTTAGTTGACCTTGGGTTAACATGGCAATGTTAACTTGGCTGCTGCGGCAGTTGGATCGCTAAATTTGCATGTAAACCCTGCTGAAATACCAGGCGAACAGAAACGACTAGTAGGTAGCTGAATGTTAGTTTAACAGAAATGAGTATACTTAGCATAGCATTTTTAGTTGACCCTGGGTTAACATGACACTGTTAACTCGGCTGGTGTGGCTGTTTGTTTGATACATTTACATGTAAACTCAGCTGAAATACCAGGCGAACAGAAATGAGTAGTAGGTAGCAGCATATTATTTTACACCGAGCTAACATTGCGCTGTTAGTTAACAGTACGATCACTGTTAACTCATACGTGAGCAGCAATTTGATCACTAAATTTGCCTATCGGCTCAGCTGAAATACCAGGCGCACAGCAGTGAGCAGCAGCATGCAAAATGTTATTTAACATAGGGCTAACATTGCGCTGTTAGTGAACAGTGTGCTCACTGTTAATATCATGCGTGATACAGCAGTTTACTCACTAAATTAGCTCATGAGCTCAGCTGAAATACCAGGCGCACAGCAATGAGTAGTAGCTGACAAAATGTAAACATTGCACTTTTAAATCGGGAGAACATTACCCGAGATGGAGTCATGCAATGTTCGAGAGACATTATCGTGGAATAGTGAGCATTTCTCCGAAATTCCAAGAGTTACGGAATATTTCGGAATGCCAGCCAATACTCCGAACAAATATGCGTTATATGAAAAAATCACATATCATAAAGAGAGAGAGACAACAGAGAGATAATTGAAAGAGAAAGGAAAAAGCAAATTGATATAGCTCTAAGTAGAAGGAGGGTGAGAGAAGGCTTATAGCTTAAATTAAAAGTACTAGTTGTAAGAGCAGTAGCAGGAGTAGTAATAAATACCAAGAGAAGAGTCATAAATAGAGCGAAATACCATAAATTTTTGAAATTATAAAAAGAGCATATTTTTTATATAGGAAGGAAGAGCTGAGGGCTCTAGCTGCTGCTAGTAACATGTAAGAGAGATAACGAAAACATTCAAGCTATATACATATGTAAAAAAATATAATAAAGAAGCTAATACAGACGCTACAAATATTTGCTATAAAATTAAAATTATTTGAAGCAACAAACTAAACAAAGAGAAAAATCTCAAGAGAATAACTAAACAAATAGCTCAGCTCAGCTCGGCTCGATAGCTTAGATAAAAGTATTAGTTAAATTGAGCTGAATGCTGAGCAAAGACAACGACGTATATTAATTGACTCCGATGGGAATCAGAGAATCAGCTAGAGAAATCTAAAGAGTGCAGGAGCGAGAGAGAGTGAGAGAGAGATGGAGTGAGTCGCAGCTGATACTGGCCACAAATCCACTCAACGCCTAATTGCGCAATGCGATGACGGCGGCCAATTAGTTTTGACAAGATGAGAATAAGACTAGACAGGAGCAGACAGGACTCACCCAGAATGGGACCAGGCCCTGCTTAATGTCGTCCTCGATGGCCTCGCGCAACAGTTTGCCCCGCATGGCCAGCTGCTCGTCAGCCTCGATGTAGCGCATACGCACGAGTCCTGCGGGTGGTTGATTGGGTGGGTGGGTGGTTGTATATTTTTAGCGTGTGCTGTAAGCGGCTTACGAATGTGTGACGAACTCACCAATCAGGGCGGCCTTCTCCACGCTCGAGTGCGCCTGATCCGAGCAGTAGGCCACCAGACGGGCGTTTATCTCCGCATCTTGATAGCCAGGATTGCGCTCATGGAAGCGCTGTATGGCGCGAGTGCGGCCGGCGAGCAGGCAGACCAGCGTCGCCTCACTGGACGTCGTCTGCAGCACTCCGCCGCCCTTGCAGTTGTTGGTCAGGTGGAGAAACTCATCCGGCAGCCCAATCATCTTGCCCAGCCAGTTCATCACAACGATCTCCAGCTCCGTGCAGGCCGGCGAACTGGCCCAGGTGAAGCCCAAGCAGTTGATGGCATCGGCCAGCATGTCGCCCAGCAGCGAGGGCATCGAGTTGAGAGCCGGAAAGTAGCCGTGCATATGCGGCGACTGCCAATGGGTCACACCTGACATCACAATGCGCTCCACATCCCCAAAGATCTTCGACCACGGCTCCCCATCGACGGGCGCCGACTCCGGCAGCAGCTGGCGCATATAGCCCGGACTCACATCCGGAAAGACGCGACGCTCCCGTATGTTCTCCAAATAGTCAGCTATATAGTCCACCATCTCCTTGCCTGCGAAAAAAAAAATAGCTTAGCTTGTTTGAATTTTTTAATTTATAATAGGCAATAATTAACTTAAAATTTCAGTTTAGAAGTTACAAAAAAGTCTACAATCATACATAAAAAATAAATATATATAATACATAAATAGAGCTTAATGCAATAAAATATTTAAGAAATATTTTTTTTTTAAATAAA